GCCCTTTCTTGCCTCTGTCACTGTCTAAACTCCAAAGTCATATGAACCACTCCTCTCCTACAATATCAGAAATTTCAACACTGATATTTCGGGTAGAAAACAAACCGACCTTGTACCTCTTTTTAATCAAGAAACTTTAAATTAATACTGTCACAAATCTTTTATTTTTGATTTATTATAAGTAAGTCTGCATGCCAAATCTATTGGTGTGAGAGTAATAATTGATAAGAAGCTAATCAAAATACTTGTCTGATCTGACGTGGCTTTAGATAGCTTCTCCAACGCCTTCTTTATCTCGGGAACTCCGTGATAAACTTTGATACTCTACACCTATTTTTGTCTCAGCCAAAGCATCAATTTTCTTGTGGGAGTTGGTGATTTTTGCCTGAAAAAGATTACAACTTCAAGTTAACCTGTAGTTTTCTGATTGATTCTTTGGTGGGTTTCGTGTAAAGTGTCAAACTTTTGCATAAATGGCGGCTCTTCTGGGCAGATTCTGCCGGAGATCGTGTTTTCCGGTCTCTGGTCATGGAATTAGGATGTTTTCGACGGTTGAAAATGTTTCCGAAAATGGCAAATCGATGAATTTATACTCTGCTATCAATCAAGCGCTTCACATCGCTTTAGAAACCGATCCTCGGTGAGATTTTTTCTCAATTTTTAAATCTAAAATACAAAATTTGGGAGCCTCTCTAAAACTTTTGTTGGTGTAAAGGTCTTATGTGTTTGGGGAAGATGTTGGATTTGGTGGTGTGTTTCGTTGTACAACCGGTTTAGCTGAACGGTTTGGGAAATCACGAGTTTTCAACACACCTCTTTGCGAGCAAGGCATTGTTGGTTTTGGCATTGGTTTAGCAGCAATGGTGAGACTTGTTCTTCTTTTGTTCTTATGTTTATCTCTCGAGGACTCATTTCTATAACTACCATATTCACTTTAACAGGGAAATCGAGTTATTGCGGAAATTCAGTTTGCGGATTATATTTTCCCAGCTTTTGATCAGGTAAATGTAACCAATTTATGAATTTTTTTCTTTGTCTCAAGAGTTTCTCTTTATGGAG